GAATTAAAACTTTCCTCCTAGTGTGCTAAGATGCATTTGCATCATTCAAGGCTTCAGAATAAAAAAAAGAGCTCCACTTATGATTATTTCATAAGCTACCAGAAGTATTAGAAAGAGTCCAGCAAGGGGCAGATGATCACTGCATGAGTAGCAGTGTCTTTAAGACATCCCTGCTCCAGTTATCAGCCTGTTGCTGGAGCTGATCGTTCCTCCCAAACTGATGTTTTGTCTGAATATTCCTTTAGCAACTTCAGGCAAAATTAGCCATGTTTGATCAAATAGTTTTAATAACTGATAAAAGCAAGTCTGACTGATCATTGATGGGAGAAGTTAGTGAGCAGACTCAGAAATAACTCCATCCCTAAGCTGGAGGGAAATTGGTGAAGAACAGGGAGGGTTATTCTTGAGTGGTCCAGCTGGATCAAAACATCTGTTCCTGTAGTTTGGTTAATGTCCTGTACCAGCAAAAGACTGCAGAAGAAACAAAAGAAATAAGGTAAATGCCTTTTTCCACCCAAATTTTCCCATGATCCTGTTACCTTTTAAGTGGGTGCTGAGTAAGTGGTTCTGATTACCTTCAGGATTCTCTTCTTGAAGTGCCCTCTTCCCATTCCCACATCGAATGAGAAGGTGGTGCACTACTCGTGGTGGGAGCAGCCACACACCTGGAGTGTGGCTGAGGGGATCTGCATGTCAGGCTTGGGCTGAAGTGAGGAAAAGAGGTTTTGCTTATGCCAGGTGTAGGACTGCAATCTCAACACGCTCCTACCAATACAGACAGGGCACCTAGGAGCTGAAAGAAGGATTCAAGGAGTGTGAATATGCAGTAATTAATAATGGATGATTACCCCAAGTTCACTGAAGACAGTAAAAGATGAAGTTCTTTATCCGAATTTTAGTATTGTAGGAATTTGATTGTATAACTTCTGGGTTTTGCTACAAATCCATAAAGTGATTTTTCCTCAGTTACTGTTAGCCTGAGCGCTGCTGTGTCTCTTACTGGAGGCCAAGCTGTTTCTAATAGTTCAGCATTTTTGAGACTAATGCAGTCAAGTTGATTCAAAGAGGCACATACTCAATTAAAGAGTTTCTCAAGCAGTCCAATATGATCAGAATGAAGACTTTTTTTCACATCCAGACTCTTGTCTCTTCCAAATTCACAGGGGTGATCATGATATATCCTGACAAGAGTGCTGCAGCTCTCTCTTCTGTAAGATGTGTTGTATTTTGCAAAGCTTGGTGAGCAGCACCAATACTGAGCTGGGAAAAAATGCCAAAACAGTTGGAGAAATAATGGTTTAATTTTTTTCCTCTACAGTATAGAAATGCAAATCTGAGAAAAAAAAATCTAAACAGGTTTGGTAGAAGTGGCTTTCTTAGAGTCAACAAGAAAAAATTGTTCACAGTTTTGCAAAATACCTCATTTCTTTTCCTGCTTAAATGCCTTTCTACTTTATTTTTTTACTTTAGTATTTTACCTTTTAGAATTAGTTTCATACTTTAAAATATTTTCTTTAAACAAAAGCAGAAGGTCAAGCATATGAATTGAAAGTATCAATACAGAATATTTCAGCATGTCTGAAATAAAGCGTTTGGTTTTGCAAACACTGAACTAAATGTATGTTTTTTTAGCAGCAAAAAGCTACTAAGAAGTTTTGACCTAAATGCTCAGTTTTGGCCCCCTCAGAAACATCCTTTTCAAGCAGATTTGTAATTTTACATCTCTGTTTCCTAGCTCTATTTTGGAAACAAAGCTAAGAAATCATCTTAAGACTAAGATAAGTTGATAATTCTTAGTGTCTCTTAGTCCATTACTAATTTCCCAAGAGACAATATTTTGCTGTGATCCTCAGGTGAGCATTTCAGAGACCATTTATTTTCATAAAGACTTTGTGGGTTATTGAGGTAGGTTACTCTTTGTGGGGATTTCAGCTGCTGTGGTGCTGTGTGTGTGAACACCAGGGCAGGATCAGTGCACCACTGCACTGGTTGTTGGAGTGGAATTAAAGGAGAGCAAATGGGAAATGTTCTGTCACTGTTCATTTGAATGTACAAGTGAATTTGCCTTGGTTGTGTTCGTAAGCCGCTTGCATTCTTTTTATGCCATCTTCCTTGTGCTTGAGGTTTGCTGGTGTGCAGTCTGGATTTAAGGTCAAGTGCTCACTGACTATGGATTTTAGATTTGCTAAGACTTGAGAATTCACACAAGATTAGGAGCTACACCTGTTTAACTGCAGGAATAACACTGAGCCACAATTCAGGAGCACAACTAAAATTTTGCAATTCAGATAAACCAGTTGTAGAATAAATGGCATCTGCAAAAGGAAAATTTAAATTAATAAATAGGTCTGAGAACATCAGGATCTGTTTCCATGAGTGGAAACTGTTCATGACAATTCAGCCCTTGGCAAGAATGGGAGAGTAAAATGGCAGTGTTTTCTGTTAGTACTCAGTGTCTGATGATTTGTCAGAGGCCAGTGAAGCAGTCATAGCCCAACAGATGAATTACTGAATCACATTTATGAAGCAGAAATAGTGGCTACTGTCCATGTGTCTGGCATGTCTTCCAGTCTTTCTGTTTAGCAGCACTGTAAGGCATGTTTTATATGCACACACTTAAGCTGCATATATTTTTGTTTAACAGGCTTGCCTGTTTGCCCAGAGCTGACTCGAGAGCACATTCCTAAAACCAAGGATGTGGGTCACTTTCTGTCTGTTACTGGGACTGTCATACGCACCAGTTTGGTGAAAGTTTTGGAGTTTGAACGGAGTTACATCTGCAACAAGTGCAAGCATGTGTTTGTTGTCAAGGCTGACTTTGAACAGTACTACACATTCTGTCGTCCATCAGTCTGTCTTAATGAAGATGGCTGCAACTCAACCAAGTTCACTTGTCTCTCTGGAACAACCTCTTCCCCTACCTGCTGCAGAGACTACCAAGAAATCAAAATTCAGGAACAGGTAAGAAAAAAAATGATGGAGAAAAAGGGGGAGGTATTAAAGTGTAGATGTCTCAAGTCAAAATCT